CAACTCGGACTAGACTAAGTTAGTGGAATTAAGACTTATTCTATGCATCTGCTCTCCCACAATATGGCGCTGGGAGAGGAGGAAACAGCTTCTACACAGCTGCCTCCAGTTCAACCAATAAACAGCAGGACCTGCTCCTGATTGGAGGAGAGCAGCGTACTCGGCGTGTGGGTAGCAGAGTTGGGATTGGTGGAAGAGGACTATAAAGGAGGAGAGAGACAACATGCACCAGGAACATCTATCTGAAGGAACACCTGTGCAGCCCCCAAGAGAGCCGGCCGGCGGTGTGCCGCTCCCCTGCGGAAGTGGGGAAAGTGGCAGGGGGCCCGCCCTTCCACGGAGGTGGAAGGGACGGTAGCCAACCCGGGAAGAACCAGCAGCAAACCCGGGGAGGGCCGAGCAGACAAAAGAACAGCACAGGGTCCTGTGTCATTCCTCCACGAAGATGGGGAGCGACACAGGTGCACCCAGCCAGCACATTGACCTTGAACTTCCCAGCCTCTAGAGCCAGGAGGAACAAGCCTGCATTGTTTAGAGATTACTCAGGCTGCTCTACTGTGTTATAGTGATGCAAATAGACTCTAAGCCTGCCTGTGGGAGTGGAGAGAATCAGGGGACCAGAACAGACTTGGAGAGAACAAGAGAGACTGTGTGACTCCAGGAAAACACAGGCCTAGGGCCAAGACCAGCATGGAGGGGCAGAAACAGAGAGCCAAGGTCACTACAGGGGACCCTAAAAATCTCCCAGCTTCTAGAACTCCTGCCCATCTGGCTATGCTGGTCTCCTTCTCCCCAAACTGTCACGTGTCCCTTCAATAAACCCTACCTGATAGACAAACATGCTTGCAGATTGATCTGCTTCTTAAAAAGAGCTGCAACAAGAACATTGCTGTATGGCAAATGCCTATCATAGGGCCAGACAGACTGAGCGATTCCTGGACAAGATGGACCAAGGAAACCCACCCCACGTCCATACCCTGGTGACCAATCTGCTGCCTTCCCCAAGCCTTGTAGAATCAAGGGCATTACCTTGAGCTGTGTTCACTCTTTGTTGGTGTCACAGTCACACTAGGTAGTCCTAGGACAACAAAATAAAATGTTTTCATGCTCAAGGAGGCAGCATTTGGTCCTAATTCATTAAGGCTCATGTGTCAAATGGTGGACAAACGTGGCTCACCAGCTCTACTTAGTGCTCCCTTGCCCAGGGAAAATGTCTTTTGAACCAACTTGCCAAACACTTGCGTCTCTAGTACAACATGTAAGAATGCATTTGTGGGGCTGGCGCTGTGGCACAGTGAGCTAAGCTGCTGCCTGCAATGCTGGCATCCCATTTGGGGCACCTGTTAGGATCCTGGCTGCTCTGTTTCCGGTCTAGCTTCCTGCTAGTGTGCCCGTAAAGGCAGCAAAAGATGGCCCAGGTTGTTTGGGTCCTTGCTACCCATGTAGGAGACCCAGATGGAGTTCTTGGGTCCTGGCTTCAGCTTGGCCCAGTCCCAACCATTGTAGCCATTTGGAGAGTGACCAACAGACGGAAAATATCTCACATGTGCTCTCGCTCTTGCTCTCTCTCTCTTTCTCTCTCCCTCTCCCTCCCCACTCCACCTTCCACTCAGTCTCTTTGTCTTTCAAGTAAAAAAATAAATCTTTTTTAAAAAGACATTGGTGGGGCTGGTGCTTTGGCTTAGCAGCCAAAGCCACCGCCTGCAGTGTTGGCATCCCATATGGGTGCCGGTTCGAGTCCCAGCTGCTCTACTTCCAATCCAGCTCTCTGCTGTGGCCTGGGAAAGCAGTAGAAGATGGCCCAAGTCCTTGGGCCCCTGCACCCACGTGGGAGACCCAGAGGAAGCTTCCTGGCTCTTGGCTTTAGATAGGCACAGCTCTGGCCGTTGCAGCCAACAAAGGAGTGAACCAGCAGATGGAAGACCTCTCTCTCTCTTTCTGCCTCTACCTCTTTGAGCTCTCCTTTCAAATAAATAAATAAATCTTTAAAAAAGAAAAAAAGACATTGGCGACACCTTCAAAGCTAAGGAACCACTGTCCATCTTCAAGAAAATTCACTATATGGATCATGGTTCTCAGGTGGGTACACCCTCCAACCCTCTCAAAAGCTGGGGAAGTTTCTACAAAGAGCCTAAGGAAGGTGAAAAACCAACAGCAGAGCCATCTTTTGGGGGAGAGAGCAGGGCTGGAGACACTTACATGTACGCTCCATATATTCCCAACATTAATTTCTGTTCAACTGTGGTTCATAAAGCAGGAGAGAAAAACCTCAAGGGAACAGGAATTCATGAATTTCAAGTGCTTCCTGATGGCAGCAGATGGAAGCACTCTGTTCTCCAGGCTGAGCCCTGAGCTCTCCTCTGTGGACAGTACGCCCTCTCTCACACTAAAGAACCCTCATAAAGAGCCTCAGGACCCCTGGACAGGCTGCTCGGATCTCCATCCGCTTCCGGGGAAATTTCAACCTTAAGAGCTTTCCTCCTTAAGTTCAGTGGTAGTAAGAGCAATCATGACAATAACAACAGAACGTGACACACAGGCACTTAATGCATGCCAGACACCGGCTGCTCCTATGTAATCATCACTAAATCCATACAAAAAACCACAAGAAACTTCCTTATTTTATGCAGCAGTAAAAGCAGAGTCTCTTATTCTAGGAAATGGGGGGAGGTGTTGGGCTAGTTAAGTAGCCTGGCTTAATTTGTGGATGGAACAAGATAACTCAACAGTGGCAGTTCTCACTAACACCTCAGTTTTTTAGCTAATCAGTCAGCTTTCTGGCTCTATCCTCCGCACTCTTTGCAATAATCCAACTTGACGATATTTGTTAAGACGGGACCACATGGAAGACTTTGCACCATGCACAGGTGGCTCAGGGGGGAACTGCAGGAGCTGGACTCTCATATCAGCAAGTGTCCCCAACACCCTCTCAAGAACTTTTCATGAAACCAGATCTGGAGCTGCCCTGGAAGAGTCTCCTTGGGGAGTCAGCACTATGGCGGTAGTGGGCTAAGCCTCTACCTGCGGCGTTGGAATCTCATATGGACACCAGTTCACATCCCGGCTGCTCCTTTTCCAATCCAGCTCTCTGCCATGACCTGAGAAGGCAGTAGAAGATGGCCAAGTGCTTGAGCCCCTGTACCTGCATGGGAGACCTGGAAGAAGAATCTCTTGGCTCCTGGCAGAACAGCTTGGCCCAGAACCACCTGCAGAGCATTCAGGCTGAACAACACTGGGACACTGGGCTCCATACATGAGCTGCGTCCACTTCTTATCCTACAGATGATTTAACACTGGGGGACCCAGACCAAGTGTGCTGAAAAAGAATCCATTGCAAGAAAAGACATCGAGAAGGGTCTGCCTCTACTTGCTTGTCTGGGCACTTATAAAAGCCATCTTGAGGGGCCGGCTTTGTGATGTAGCAGGTAAAGCTGTCACCTGCAGTGCTGGCTTCCCATATGGACGTCAGTTCAAGTCCCGGTTGCTCCACTTCCGATCCAGCTCTACTGTGGCCTGGGAAAGCAGTGCAAGATGGCCCAAGTCCTTGGGCTCCTGAACCCATGTGGGAGACCAGGAAGAAGCTCCTGGCTCCTGGCTTTGGATTGGTCCAGCTCCGGCCATTGAAGCCAATTGGAGAGTGAACCAGAGGATGAAAGACCTCTCTCTCTCCCTCTCTCCTTCCCTCCCTCTCTCTCTGCCTCTTCTTCTCTGTGTAACTCTGACTTTCAAATAAATAAATTAATCTTTAAAAAAATCCATCTTGAATGCCCTTGGCCTTACCCTTGAGCCCTCTCTCCCAACAGGCCTTGGACAAATTTGCAAAATTACTAAGAAAAATTGTGGGAGTTGGTGGAGAACAGCAAATATAGGGGAAGTAGAGGCAAAAGTCCATGATAGGAAGTCTTGAATCAGGGCTGGGCAAGAGCCCAGGAGACACACTGGTACAGGAGCCTCACTTTCCAGTTCACAGCCAGGCTGGTCCGATGCTAGAGCAAGTTGATGCACCAACCCTGTCGGTGGTAAAAGCTAATTGTTTTCTAGACTGATGAAGTCTACATCCCGGAGGACTGCCTGGTGGCACTCATCCCCTCATCCCTTGAGATGCAGCATCCACAACAGCCTCCCGTCTTTGTGTGCTCCTGTCTTTGTGTGCTCCTGGAATGTTTTCCCACTTAACACACTTGGTTTTGAAAATCTGAGCCAAGGCAGTTTTCTTACCATTTTGTGCTTCCCAGAGTTGCACTGCTCCCGTCCACTCTGGCTTGTGTTGCCTTGTAAAGTGTCCACGGGGTCATGGAGGGGCTTGAGTGCAAGGCAAGGAGACCTCGGCACCCAGGAGCCCCTGACTTCAGGATTCAGTAGGCTGGGTTGTTGGGAGCCCTCAGTACCCTAAGCTGGGAGCTATAAGCTCAGTTCTCCCTTCCTCTGTCTTTCCAACTGCCCCCCGCCCCCTCCCCGCCCCCTCCCCGCCCCAGACTGGATTCTGCAGCTGCCGCCAGGGCTTGGCTAGTTTTGTGGTTTCTCCACCTGTTCAACAGCTTCTCCCTCACTTTCACTGGGATGGGCTCCACGATGTCCCCTCAAAATTCATCTTCAAGTCTGACCCCCAGTGTTTCAGAACCAAAATGGACAAGGGGTTTTGAACAAGTCCATAGAGGAAAAAAGTATGCTATGAAAAAACATAGATTTCAAAAATAAATACCAGGGTCAGCGCTGTGATGTAGCAGGTGAAGCCACCGCCTACAGTGCTGGCATCCCATATGGGTGCTGGTTCAAGACCTGACTGCTCCACTTCCGATCCAGCTCTCTGCTGTGGCCTGGGAAAGCAGTAGAAATGGCCCAAGTCCTTGGGCCACTGCACCCACATGGGAAACCCGGAAGAAGCTCCTGGCTCCTGGCTTCAGATCAGCTCAGCTCTGGCCATTGCAGCCAATTAGGGAGTAAACCAGGGAATGGAAGACCTCTCTCTCTCTCTCTCTCTCTCTCTCTCTCTCTCTCCTTCTGTAACTCTGCCTTTCAAATAAATAAATAATTTTTAAAAAAAATAAATACCAAAAATAAAGTTTTGTATTTTAAAAATTAAACATTTTTAATTCTGTTTTCCACAGACTTTTTGAAGTCTCTTTGTGCTTAGAGACAGAGCCTTTAAAGAGATGATTAAGGTAAAATGAGATCATGTGGGTGACCCGTAATCCAATGGGACCAGGATCCTGTTAGGAGACGAGATTAAGGGTCAGCAATGTGGCACAGTGAGCTAAGCTTCGCCTGCAGTGCTGGTATCCCATATGGGCGCCAGTTCGAATCCCAGCTGCTCCTCTTTGGATCCAGTTCCCTGCTATGGCCTGGGAAAGCAATAGAAGATGACTCAAGTGCTTGGGCCCCTGCACCCATGTGGGAGACCTGGAAGAAGCTCCTGGCTCCTGGCTTTGGATCGGCCCAGCCACAGCTGTTGCGGCCATTTGGTGAGTGAATATGTGAATGGAAGACCTTTCTCTCCATCTCTCCCTCTCTCTAAGTGCTGCCTCTCAAATAAATATTTAAAATCTTAAAAAAAAAAAGACAAGAGGATATTACCATACACACAGCCATGTGAGGACACAGAGGAGACAAGTTCAAAGAGATGGGTCTACCAACATTGCCAACACCTTGACCTTGGACTCTCGACCTCCATGACTATGAGAATACAAACGTGTGCTGCCTGAATCCCCCAGCCCGAGGCACCTCATTATTGCAGCCCCAACAGGCTCCCCCACGATCTCCCAAGGAACCTGCCCACCACAAGGCAGGTGCTGAGCAGCCTTTCCTGTTTTAACCACAATGAACAGCCTTTAGGAGAATCAGAAGCCTTCAGAGTTCGGCTCTCTAGTTGTGCGTTTCTAGGTGTAAACCCATGAAAAGTGCTGGTCCCTCCCTCTTCTCGTCCTGTTGATTTGGTCTGCTCTGGATTAGCAATGATCTACCCAGAGAAAATCAGGGTCAGAGCTGTCTCCCAAAACGAAACCACGCAGCCCATTCTCCGTTCCACAAACTTAAGAAGAAATTTGAAGAATAAGCCAAATTATTTATGTGTCTGTCTTTCCAAAGGGTGTCTCCACCCTACCTTCCTGCTAACCTTGTCCTCCTGGTTTCCCCTTCTGTGTCCAGAAATAAACCCGGGAGTTTCTTGAATTCATCTGTGCTCTTTGCCTCCATCACTCTTCTCAGTAACTCAATCCATATGTACGTTACCCTCTGCAAGGGGCGGGGCGGGGGAGGGTGGTTCTGTCTGAGTTCTCTGTTAACTGTGAGTTTCCTAATTTTATGAACAATTTCCTAACAAGGAGTTCAATTCTTGGATCCTGTTCCAAGGACAGTGGCAGAGTCCACACCGGGGACTTTGGATCTGTACCAAACACACAGGTGCCGGCCGCTCAGGCAGGCTGTGTGATGTTGTTCTATAGTGATTGCTTTTTCTGTTCCCTGAGCTATGTGATGCTGAGTGGAGTCTGCCACAATAAAAGGACTGCTTTGCCATCTTCGACACAAGCTAAGGGAGCCCTTCTTGTCTCCATCATGAGAATGGCACAGAGGAACAAGTCGCAATGGATTTCTAAGACTTGTCTTCGCAACAATTCAGGATCTTCCTTTCATTATTGGGGCAGTAGCTGGCAAGTGCTGACTTCATGCTTCAAGCTGATGCATTGCAGGCCAAAAGAAGCCAATACAATTTTAATGGATCAAATGCCCTCTTACTGAAAACCACAATTCTCAGATCCACATTTTTCTGAAAACAGACTTACATTTGGTGCTGGAGATTTCACTAAACCCAGCATTTTTCTAACCCAAAGAAACCTCATGACCAGCAATAAATTTCCTCCAGGAGATCATTTTCCAATCAGTTCCATTACAGCAAACCTATGCCATCAGACTTACCTCCAAAATATACAATTACATGAATTAGCATGGACCAATGAATTTTTAATTTCTTGCCTGTTAGTTCAAACCACATGAAATGTCTCTGCAACCGGATATTTTTATTGAGACCAAAGCAGACACATTCCAAACAATGAATTTCTATTCAGATTCTTCTGAAGCCTAATCAAAACAGTTTGTATTATCTGTTATCAATATGTTATTATTCAAACCATCCTTTTGCTCGATTTTGCTCAGTCTCTAATCCACTTGCGCATATTTTTTGGACCAGTTTCTATAATACCTTGCAACTCTGTCTCTATTTGAGACCTTAGAAGACAGCGATTTATATATACATATGTAAATATATATAATTAATATTGGCATTGTTTCATGAATTGTAAAATGTGAGAATTACAGAATTTGGGAGCTGGAGGAGACACAAAGAATTTCACTTTCAAAGACCACCTACTTAGGGCTTTGTTTTGAATTTCTTTGATGTGCTTCTTACATGGCCCTTCTAACACATGGTGAGTCCTTTATGGGAGAAAGCAAAATGACTGTGAGAAGAAACATCAGCACACACGGAGGTAACTAGAGATAACGCGGTTCATCTCCAGACCAGCTTGATGGACCAAGCTTTTAGAATCACATCTCTGCTTTTCCTCCAAACTGCAACTCTTTAGTCCTTGGAGTCATCTTGCCTAGTTGCATTACTCTTCCACCTCCTGGCTCTTTCCCAAATCTCCTGGACATGAAGAAGGTCGAGTCTTCGCAGGCTGGTGTTTTCCAGGCTGGCTAGACTCCCAGTTATGATCACCACTGCCCAAGTGTCCATACACACACACACACACACACACACACACGGGATCCTGGGAGACAGCACAGAGTACTTCTCATCCTTATAGAGCCTGTTCTAACAATTTCTTGAAACTTATTACTTTAGCTGGCCTATGACAACTGTTTTGAGCTTCTAATTCAATCCCTTGCCCTCTTGCCTTGAGGCTGAGGTATGGATCCCTACCTTTCCTATAACAACCATCCTCTAATCCCAGCCCTCTTGTTTCAGTTCCAGCAGGGAAGTCAGCCCAGCTGTCTCTCGAGTTCTAACCAGATTGCACCTGCAGCCTAGGGCTCCCTGCTCCCAACCCCAGTCCAGTCCCAGCCCCACACTAGCCATAGAAAAGAATCATGTGGATCAACCTTTTGTTTTTTCCTTTGTTTTCTGGTCTCTCAGGATTTTGCTCAGTATCTTCCCATCTTTGATATTTTTCACAACTGCTTATCAATATTTGTAAGACATGATTGTGAACATATTCTGCTTCCGAGTGACTTCTCACCCACTGAGCTGTACCACCTGGAACAGAAGAAACCCAAGATTTTCAGAGCCCTGAGGTTGCTTTGCTCCCCTGTGACTGCTGGCTGGTTCCTGCCAGTCCCAGCTCCATCCAGGTTCTGCCTCCCGGTTGGCATCCAGACTTGTCCATCCCTTCAGGAACCAAACTACCAGCAGCCACATTTACATCTGGCGTGGAAGCTCTCCCATGGCCCCAGAGTCTCGGCTATTTCTGACACCATTCCAATTTCCTGTGCTCAAAGATCACACTTTCATACATTACATCTCTTGCATGGGGTCCAAAATCACATGGCACCCCCCCAAAAAAAGTCATTTCAAATTACACTGACAGGGGCTGGTGCTGTGGTGTAGTGGGTAAAGCCACCACCTGCAGTGCCAGCATCCCATATGGGTGCTGGTTGGAGTCCCGGCTGCTCCATTTCTGATCCAGCTATCTGCTATGATCTGAAAAGCAGTAGAAGATGGCCCAAGCCCTTGGGCCTCTGCACCTGAGTGGGAGACCCGGAGGAAGCTCCTGGCTCCTGGCTTTGGATTGGCTCAACTCTGGCCGTTGCGACCAATTGCGGAGTAAACCAGAGAATGGAAGACCTCTCTCTCTCTCCCTCTGCCTCTCCTTCTCTCTCTGCATAACTCTGACTTTCAAATACATAAGTAAATCTTTTAAAAAACAATTACATTGACAGATTTTGGAAGGAGGTATGACGCTTCCTCCCTAAGCACAAACATCTTTCCTTTATGTGTTTTCGATCAGCTAAATTTCTGACCACAAGAGGCCCCATCCCACCTGACTAGCAGTATAAAAGCTATTCCTAAAAATATAGAAAAACAAAATGAAAGATAATATGAATTTCCTAGGAAACTTTTTCAAGGTCCCTTATATTTAAGCTCAATTGTTCTTAAAAAAAGATTTATTTATTTATTTGAAAGGCAGAGTTACAAAGAGAGGAGAGGGCATTTGGGGAGTGAACTAAATGATGAAAGATCTCTCTCTCTCTCTCTCTCTCTCTCTCTCTGTAACTCTGACTTTCAAATAAATCAATTGAGAGAGAGAGGAGAGACAGAGAGATCCTCCATTCACTAGTTCACTCCCCAAATGTCTGCAATGACCAAGGCTGGGTCAAGCCAAAGCCAAGAACCAGGAGCTTCTTCTTCCAGGTCTCCCATGTGGGTGCAGAGGCCCAGGAACTTGGGCCATCTTCTGCTGCTCTCCCAGGTGCATCAGCAGGGAGCTAGGTCAGAAGAGGAGCAACCCAGACACAAACCAGTGCCCATATGGGACTCGAGGGCCACAGGCAATGGCTCAATCCTCCATCCCATATCTTGAGTGTTCTTGAGGCTTCCCAGTCAACTCCAGTTTCAGATCAGTACCACGGCTTTGGGAAGAGATGGGGACAGAAGGCAGGGCCTGTCATAAGCTGTCTTCCCACACAGGGTGTGGCTGAGGCACTTGGCATCCGGGTACTCAGAGTTCCTGATGAGGAACTGAAGCACCAGAGAAAGCAGTAGAAGACAGACCAGTCCTGGGCCCCTGCCACCCATGTGGGAGACCCAGATGAAGCTCCTGGCTTCTGGCTTCAGCTTGGCCCAGCCCCAGCTGTTTTGGGAAGTGAATCAATAAATGGAAAATCTCTCTGTCTTTCCCTCCCTCTCTGTAACTCTGCTCTCCAAATAAATAAATCCTAAAATACTTACATAGATGCATGTACACACACACACACACACACACACACAAGGACTTCAAAAAGTTCATGGAAAATGCACATTACCAGGAAACTATATATGGATTTCAAATTTTTGGCACCAAAATTAACTTACCTTTTAATTCAGTTTTCTGTAGAGGTACCATATTTGATAATAAGCATGTATAACTTTTATAGTAAACCTAAATAATCTTTTCAGGAATCCCAAACCAACAAAACTCATCATTAAAATGCAAAATTGGAACACAGCACAAAACTGACCCTATTCCACTTCACAGGTAGCCAGAAGTAAGGACATAAACAAATCCAAGCAGACAAATAATGACGAAACAGACTTCCTTCATCTCCGCATTGGCGTCTTTTTCTGACAACATGACAAATAGTGGTGGGAAAGAACTCATCCTATCATTCCTAAGAAACTCGATCTTCCACTGTGGCTGATTATCAGAGGGAAGTCTGTCAATGCTGCAAGACACATACGCTGTGGGAAGTTTACCTGTAGTGGTTGACATTTTATAGAGAGATAAAACATGTGCCACAGGTGCACACAGCAGAAGAATACAACCGGATGAAATCTGACAAGCATCCACCCCGTCACTACCATGTGCATTAAGATGCCGATCTTTCCCCGTCCCTCTTGGGCCCCTAGTTGACAACTCCCTCAAAGGCGCCCACCGTTCTGGCGTCCAGCAACACAGAGCGCTTTTGCCTATTCTTGGGTTTCACATAAAGGGACTCCCACAGTGGGGAGCACTATGGCATAGCTGGTGAAGCCACCACCTGCAGTGCTGGCATCCCATATGGGCACTGGTTCGAGTCCTGGCTGCTCTACTTCCGATCCAGTTCCCTGCTATGGCCTGGGAAAGCAGTAGAAGATGGCCCAGGTCCTTGGGCCCCTGTACCCACGTGGGAGACTTGGAAGACGCTCCTGGCTTCAGCCAGACAAAGTCCCAGCTGATGCAGCCATTTGAAAGTGAATCAACAGATGGAAGATTCTCTCTTTCTCTCTCTCTCTCTCTCTCTCTCTCTCTCTCTCTCTCTCTCTCTCCCCTTCTGTAACTCTGCCTTTCAAATAAATAAATAATTTTTTTTAAAAAGGGAGACTTCCACAGTACCAGTATATGCTCTCCCTGTCCATTAATACCTTCTTAAAAATATTTTAATTCATTCATGATACTTAGTGGTTACTTGATAATACTTAATAAATCTCAATAGTGATTCACTCAGACACAGAGCTTTCAGTATCTGTTAAGTGTCAGAATCAAGATCTGAATATGTTATTATAAGCCTCACATTATTTTATTCCCTGTGAGTGTTATGCTACCCGTCAATACTATATTTTAATCCATATGTCATAATTCCTATCCACGATGAAAATTTCCACTGGAAGTGTGTTCTGGGACAGCAGGTATGTACAGCAACACCAAAAGGAGACATTTTTCTCCTGAAGTCAAAGACCAAAATTGAAATATTTTCCCTGGTGAAATAACCAGACATAATTTGTACTTGAGGTTAAAATTATATGTATGGTAATAGACATGAAAAAATGATTTTAGTCCTGCTATTTATCCTAAACGAATACAAATGTTTAGATGGCACATCAATTTAGCCTGTAAGTCAATGACGGCCAAGTCTGGGCACTTTGCAAGCTCTGGGACACCATGCTCCCGTGAGTAACAGACATTGGCCAGAAAGTCTCCCAAAGGAGACAAGGAAAGGACGCAGCAGTTATAGAAGTGACATCATTCTGATAAAACACAAGGAGTGCTTCAAGTTGCTCAGCAAAATGTCTGTAGCAGATCTGTGGAGTGACTTACCACCTCCAGGGAGGACTACAGCAGTAATAACGTTGGCAACCATGAGAGTCTCATCTTGCCCCCAGGTCGATATGGGGCTGGAATGCCAGGAAGTCACTTCACCTGCAGTGCCTACATTTGCTGGCACAACTAAGCCTCATTAAATTGGCCACTTTGGGCTTTTATAAGCAGCAGGTATGGACGTGCCCTTAAACTTGGAGAAATCACCACTGTGGAGTATGTCAGACTCACAGAAGGATGGACAGCATAGGAAAGGACAGGGCTTAGAAGCAGACCCAGGCCTAAAGGTGGGACCAGTGTGGGTGACAGAGACCAGTCTGGGCTGGAGGACATTGGTCCTAGCATTGGAAGGTGATAACCAAATGGCTAAGGGGGAGGTTCAAAATCATATCAAAAGTAAAAGTATCAAAATTTTTTTTGACAGGTAGAGTTAGTGAGAGAATGAGAGACAGAGAAAAAAGTCTTCTTTGCGTTGGTTCACCCCCCAGATGGCCACTACGGCTGGCACACTGCGCCAATCCGAAGCCAGGAGCCAGGTGCTTCCTCCTGGTCTCCCATGGGGGTGCAAGGACCCAAGCACTTGGGCCATCCTCCACTGCCTTCCCAGGCCACAGCAGAGAGCTGGACTGGAAGAGGGGCAACTGGGACAGAATCCAGTGCCCCAACCAGGACTAGAACCTGGAGTGCAGGCGGAGGATTAGCCTAGTGAGCCGTGGCGCTGGCCCAAAATTTAAAACTTTAAACTATGAGCTGTGTCATACATAATGGCATCCTTACATCTGAGAAAACATACTTATTTCAGTCTTGTTGAAAATCAGGTTTACCCATTCCAGCCAAGCGTTTGTGGTGCCAGGTAAGTTCCTACCTAGAGCAAGTGAGCTCAGTCAGCTTCCCTACCCCAGATTCTGGCAGCTATGATGAACCACAGGGCTGAGATGAACCTTTCTGGTATCCTCACTCCAAGAACTTTCTGGAAGGACCCTTATACCCTTCTCCTTATCTTCAAGAAGCTCATGATCTAGCAAACACAAAGGGCCACCAGAGCACCGGTTCACAGCAAGACAACATGGGCCAAGCACAAAGCCTGAAAACATGAAACATACAAGCATAGAGAAATACGAATCTGAAATTGTCAAACACCATCATATTTACTTGTCTTATTTATTGCTCGTTTTCCCACTGGAAAACAAGGAGGATATCAAAAAGTTTGTGGAAATACATAATGAAAAGATAAGTTTGTGTGGGTTCAAACGTTTTTTGACATCCTTGCATAGTTTCTCCGTAACACATATTTTCTGTGAACTTTTTGAAGAACCCTCATGCAAGTTCTATGGTGTTTCACCTACTACATTCCCAGGGTCTGCACATAACACACCTTCCATCAGTGTTTGTTGAATGAACAACAAGAGATTCTCCCATGGGGTGCAGGGCCCAAGTACTTGGGCCATCCTCCACTGCCTTCCCGGGCCACAGCAGAGAGCTGGCCTGGAAGAGGGGCAACCGGGACAGAATCTGGTGCCCCGACCGGGACTAGAACCCGGTGTGCTGGTGCCGCTAGGTGGAGGATTAGCCTATTGAGCTGCGGCGCCGGCCTAACCCTAAATTTTTCAAAAGTTTTTCTCAACCGAGAAATCAGCTCGTGTCACCCCTTTGCTTAAAACTCAGTGGCTTCCCATTTCCTACAAAATAATATCAAATCCTTACCTCGCAAGGCCCAACGTGGTCTGACCTCACAGCCCTCTCTGCTGCTCTCCCCCTGCTCACTCCTCACCAGCCACGCTCTCAATATGCCCAGCACATAACCACCTCGGGGCATTTTGCACTTGCTGCTCCTTCCCCCTACAATGTCACCAACAAAAAGGACACCTGTTTACCCCACCATTTCTTTATATCTCCACCCAAACACCCTGACTGTGACGCTTCTGTTTGCCAGCATGTTTTCCCAGTGACTGTAGCCAGGATGTTTGGAGTAGGTACTCAATAAATATTTACTAACGAATGAATGGAAAGAAAGAATGAACATCTTGGAACTACAGAAGGAAGGAAACTTGTGACATATAGATCACACCAAGACAAGGAGATGCTTTATTTGGGTCACCCAATATTTTTTAAAAAATTTAAAGTCATTGACAACTTCTTCTCCAATCTTTTGTATCAAGGTAAAATACACGCAGCATACAGTGTAGCATCTGAACCATTTTTAAGTGTACATAGCATTAAGTCCATTCATGCTGTTGTGCAACCACCACCATCACCCACCTCCAGAATACTTTTCAATTTGCAAAACCAAAACTCTACCCAGGAAACAATGACTGCCTACTTTCCCCTCTTCCCAGCTCTTGGTAACCCCTAACTGTGCACAGCACACCAATTTCTCCACATCTTTGCCAATTCTGGCTACTTTCTGTTGTATTGATATGCCACAATGCCAATCCCGGTTTTTGCTTTTCAACTTTGTATCCTGCTACTTTGAAGAATTCATTTATTAATTCTAACAGGTTTCTTGTCAAATTAGAATTTTTTATATATAAGATCCTGTAATCTGCAAACAGAAATAATTTTACTTGTTCCTTTCTATTTTTTTAAAGATGTATTTACTTATTTGAAAGGCAGTTACAGAGAGGCAGAGGCAGAAAGAGAGAAATTTCCCATCTGCTGCTTCACTCCCCAGATGGTTGCAATGGTGCCAGTCCAAAGCCAGGAGCTAGGAGCTTCATCCAGGTCTCCCACATAGGTGCAGGGGCCCAAGCACTTAGGCCATCTTCCACTACTTTCCCAGGCCATAGTGGAGAGCTGGATCAAAAGTGGAGCAGCCAGGACATGAACTGACATCCATATGGGATGCAGAACTGCAGGCGGCAGCTTTACCCACTATGCCACAGTGCCAACCCTCTTCCTTTCTAATTTGGATGCCTTTCTATTTAATGTTTTGTTTCTATTTCCTATTGTGTATGTCTTTCAACTATTTTCTTTGTGGTTACCATGGTGATGGTGTTTGGCATCCTTGATTTACGATGTTCTTTTTTGAATGCATACCAGCTTAACTTCAGTAACACACAAAGATTCTGCTCCATCTATACATTCATCCACCCCTTTCAGTTGTTATTGCCACAAAATTACATCTTTAGATGTTGTGTGTCCAAAAATATCAACTAAGATCTTGAATGCATTTAAAGTTGCACAGAATGCAAATGCAGAGGCACCAATTAAAGCAACAAGAATCCTAGCTTTTAGTCTAATCATCTGCTTTATAACAGACTTGTCTCCGATAATACATAGAAAACAAAAAGTAGAGTCACATACCATTATCACAATAATACTTCCTGTGACGATTGTCTGCTGTTTTTCTTACCTTTCCTGAGATCTTTATTTTTTCACATGGTATCAAGCCACTGTCTTGTGTCTCCTCACTTCAACATTCAGGACTCTGCAGTATTCCTTTCAGGGCAGACCTGGTGGCAAAGAAACTCCTTGGGTGCTCTTTCCATATAAATATCTTAAATTGTATTTTTTTTTTAATTTTTTGACAGGCAGAGTGGACAGTGAGAGAGAGAAACAGAGAGAAAGGTCTTCCTTTGCCATTGGTTCACCCTCCAATGGCCGCCACAGCCGGCGCACTGCGGCCGGCCCACCACGCTGATCCAATGGCAGGAGCCAGGTACTTCTCCTGGTCTCCCATGGGGTGCAGGGCCCAAGCACTTGGGCCATCCTCCACTGCACTCCCTGGCCACAGCAAAGAGCTGGCCTGGAAGAGGGGCAACCGGGACAGAATCTGGTGCCCCAACCAGGACTAGAACCTGGTGTGCCAGTGCTGCAAGGCGGAGGATTAGCCTAGTGAGCCATGGCGCCGGTTCTTTTTTTCTTTTTTCTTTTTTTTTTTTTTGAAAACCAGTTTTGCTGGTTATAGGGCTTGGGATTGTACAAGAATGCAGTCCCTTGGATGCTTACGATGACGTTCTCATTTGCCCTCTATTCCAAATATTCAACATGTGTCTCCCAAAAAGGTCCAAAGAGAAAAATGCAGGGGGTAAAAAAAGCTGCCAGTGTGCTGAATGTTCTGGAATTTGGTTCTCCAGAGCTGGAAAGCCTTGCAACACCATGGGAAGGTGCACGAACAAGGATCACTGTCTTCTCTGCTGCTCTGAGATCTGAAGCAGGAATCAGCAGTCAGGGCACACACACATCCTTGCTGCTGGGTGATCAGGGTTCTTTCTGTCCATTCTGGCTCCCACAGGCTGCCTGCAAGCTGCTCCAGGAACATGGCTGCAGGCATGCTGCCAGCTGAGGGGCTGGAGACAAAGGATCAGACACAGCAACCAGGATATGAGCTACAGTTAATCACAGTAGCCACTGTTTGCCTCCCAAACTTTCCCCCTGGAAATTGCAGATCTTCAATTGACTCCAGAATTTGAAAATCATCACATCATCAGACAGATTCTGCTAATGTAATTTTTGTCTAGGTAAAGAGGGATTTCTGGGGCCAGCACTGTGGCATAGTAGCCTAAGCTTCTGCCTGCAGAGCTGGCATCCCCTTTGGGTACCAGTTCTAGTCCTGGCTGCTCCTCTTCTGATCCAGCTCTCTGCTACGGCCTGGGAAAGCAGTGAAAGATGGTCCAAGCACTTTGGGTCCCTGCACCCACGTGGGAGACCCTAAGAAGCTCCTGGCTGCTGGCTTCAGATAGGCTCACTTCCGGCCATTGTGGCCACTTGCGGAGTGAACAAGCAGATAGAAGATCTCTGTGTGTGTTGTATGTCTCTCCCTTTCTCTCTCTGTCACTCTGCCTCTCAAATAAATAAACAAAACTTTTTTTAAAAAAAGAGAGAGATGGATTTCTGACACTTTCTGCTGCACCATTTTCTCAGGATCCTTCCAACAGCATTTAAAATTCAAGTAAATGCTGATTTCTCTCTAAAAAAAAAATATGAGAAAACCTGGCAGTACTGAGTACCTGCTGTCATGGGACGCCATCAAGTATAGTTGAGGATGACAGTTTACAATGAGCTGCTGAGCCCAGGGCTCTGCCATACTGTCTTGGGCATGGCCAGTTCCACTACTTAGCATCATCTGTAGGGCTTTCTACATAACCAGTAAGGAAGACAGCAGATCATTCACACTGAGGCTATGGATTTTCTCCGAAGGAGATGAATCACTGTCTACCAAATCATTCAATCCAACAGTGATCTGGGTGCTGCTGTGAAGGGGTTTCACAAATGGAGTTGAAGCCCTAAATGTGTTGTACTGAAGGTAAGTGCTCACTTGTCCTCAGTGAGCCTGACCTAACCTCCCACCTATTGGGATAAGATATTTGAAGCTAAAAGACTGCAACATAAGGAGGATTCTCTCTGGCTGGACTGAAGATAGACAGGTCCCTGCAGTAAGTGTTGTAAGTGACATCCAAGAGCTAAGAGTGACCTCCTGGCTGCATGAGGACCCCATTCTGACAGCTGCAAGGAAGTGAATTCAGCCAGCACATGAATGACCTTGGAAGCAGGCTCTTCCCAGGGCCTCCAGAGAGGAGCAGAGTCTGGCCAACGCCTTGACCTCAGCCTGGTAAAACCCTAAGCAGAGAGAACCTGGTCTCCCTATGGATGCACATCTGAGTCTAAAGTAATGTGTTTTGCAGCAACAGAAGGTGAAATAAGCCCTTCATTTTCCTCCAAGATAAATGGCCAAAATTTAAAAATTACATCGCCATCTTTGATCTGTTTACTATTTGAAGCCCTTGTCTACATGCCTGTTAAACAGTGATCTTTCTGCTTTTTACCTATTGAACTCTTTATTTAGTGGAGTATTAAGCCTTTGACTATAAAGTCAATTAAAAATATGTTATAGGAAGGGAGGGAGGGAGGAAGGGAGGGAGAGAGGAAGAAGAGAGGGAAAATTGGAAAGTGGGAGGAAGACAAACATCATTCTATTCTTAGAAATGCTAGCCATGAACTACATTAAATGTGTTTTCTTCATATTAATAAAAATTGCAAATGAGAAAGCATTTGTTTTCTCTCATCATAATTTCCTAAACAAATAAAAGTGCCACTACTTTTAAAAATCTGGTGTTAATTGCATTTAGCTGTATATACAGACCTTACCATGAACATGCTCTTTTGGTTTAAAGTCCTTTGGCCTTTAGAAGTACATGTGTTTGATCAAGGTAATATATAAATGAAACTAGATTTTTTTTTCTATTTTTTGCATGATCTTCCAGGTGTCTAAAATGAAGGGAAGTGTCACCTTTGTATTAACCTGAGTGATACCAGGTAAAGCGTATTTTAAGCAATCAGCCATTCTCTGCCATGTAGCAGGCCAGTATATTGCAAGAACTGTATGGCATCTTATATTTTTAAGGCATAAATCCCTGTGGAAGTGACTCTGCAGTCTATCTGGGAAGAGATGTTCAAACCACAGCCTGGATCCTGTCTGATGCTCCACTGGCTCCTGCATAAGAGAGCTCCATGGCTCGTCCATTGGGGTGAGAAGCAAGAGAGAGAAAGAGAGAGAGAGAGAGAGAGAGAGAGAGAGAGAGAGAGAGAGAGAAAGGCTCTGGACTCCAATGCATGTGCTTTGAAGAATTTTTCACCCAGAAAGGCTGCTGGGGCAGGAATGATAGCTCCAACAACGGGAGGGAGCTACCCATTTCCAGATGATGGGTCGTACACATTTCTGCCAGCTGCCGACGGGGAGGTAGTTTTGAGCTGCCCTGAAAGGCATTCCCCCCATGGTCTCAGAAGTATGTGCTGGGTGGGTCTTCCTAGGAAATAGATGTCATACATATGGGAAACAGTACTGAAAATGGCTCCCCCACATCCAGAGCCAATTGCAAAGGCAAAGTCTTGGCTCCATGATGGAAAATCAGGCAGCACAGTAACCCATCACGGGTGGTAAATTCAATAAACTACTTCCTGGTATTTATGGGGACAGGAGGAAACGTCCTAAGCAAATGAATGTTTCCTTTCGTTCCTGGTTACATCACAGAAGGAAGAAGCAGAGAGGAATGGAAGTTTGGGGAGGGGAAGGAGAGAGAGGAACCCCCTGTCCCTGCTAGCTCTGCTTTAGCGACACCCCCTGAGGGTCCCCTGGTTGGGGGGAGGGTCTCTGCTCCCCACCTGGCTGTGCCTCTCCACCTTAGCACCCATCCCACTTCACTTCTAACATTTGTTGAGTTGTTCCTACTGGGACTGCACAGCTACCTTTGTAGTCCCAGGAGGAATGTAGCTGGGGTTCCCACAAAGCAGACCTTCGGACAAGGATGTATGTGCAATGAATCTGTTTGGGAAGAGATCCCAAGAGCAGAGGAAGAAGAAAGGGGGAGGCAGCCAAGGAAGGGAAGGCAGTCAACCAACGGTAAGAGAGGGAGGCAAAGTTAGGAACTGGGCATCTGGGGCCAAAGCCCCAGGAGGCAGGGCAGAATGTGGCTCTGAGTCACCCTCAGGGTGAGGAAGTATAACACATACCCTCCAGCTCTTTCATTTTTTTTAGATGAATTATTTTATCTGATCCATTCAATGAGGCCAAGAAAAATCTATGCAACTGCACAGGCAGAATCACATTCTCATATTACTTGATCACATAGCAGTGGTCAAAAACAACCAACTGTAAAATGCACCCAGGATTTAACGCAAAAAGCACCTAGACAGAAACGTTGCAGGCTTCTGACCTCACGGGATCCGGTGTGAGACGTGCTTCTGTAGAGTCTTCAACGCCTTCCCAGTCTTTTTGACTTTGTAGCATCTGCCAAAGATCAGCATCTGCCACTCTCAACCCACGCTGCCAGTCTGGGTCACCACCAGGGGCTCCCACCAGCCCTCTGCCTGCTTCTTCGCTGCATTGTTTTCACCATCTTCCGCTCCCATCGTTTGAGCTTTTCCTCTGGGGGTTTGGCTGCTTCCTCCTCTATCACCTTCTTCTTGACCAGTCGCTTCGACACAGCGGTCTTGATCTATCTCACATGAAGGTTGGCCACAGTCCCGCTCCTCTAACTCTGTTCAGCCATCCGAAGCGGGGGTCTGTTCTACAGGGCAAGGCCCCCACATGCATCCTGTCTGCCCTGCTGGAGCGGAGAGAGACAGCACTTGGCAGAGCACAGAAGGCGTTCGCACCGCGGGATGCGATCAGCTCGTTTGCTCTGAGGGAGGGTAGGCTGGCCAGCTGTGCCCACAAGAGCCAAAGAGTGAAAGAGAAAGGTGATTCATCTTACTTTAATTGCCTTGCTAATACTCTGTTCTGTTCTGGGCCCTGCTCTGATAACTGCTCATGTTCTTAACCAGGCTATAACTGTATAACGAGCGTAAGGTGTGCTCATCTTAGATGGACAGTCTGTGACTTTTACCCTTATAAACGCCTGTGTATCCCCACCCTGATCAAAACATCATGTCTTTGGGCTGGTGCTGTGCTATAGTGGTAAAGCCCCCACCTGCAGTGCCGGCATCTCATATGGGTGCAGGTTCAAGTCCCGAT